CACTCGATTGGCGTGCATGTTGCACATAATAATCATCGCTTCTTGTAGGTCGAAGTCGTCTTGCGACTCAGCTTGGTACTTGATCCGTTCATAGTAGGGCGGCAGCTGGTCCAAGATGATCGATAAAACATGTCGTCGTCGATTGCTTTCCCCATAAGAACCAGCTCATTTCGCTTGTCGGCCAAACGAAAAAAAAATACTTCCGGGTCTTCATCCTCCTCCGTGGTCATTGCCCGGAATTTCTTCACCAAAATATCTTTCCGCACGCGCGTGTTGTTTTGATACATTTCAAGAAGACCACGCCACGCTGCAATGCCGTTGGACAAAAATCCCGGTTTACCTCGGAACTTGTTGACGAAAGTCTGAAGAGCGCCGGCAGTAGCCATGTACAGGAAGTCTGCCAGGAAGGTGTTGTCACGGTGCCAGGCTCGAATGTCGTCCAGGTTGCTGATGATGCTGATGTCGTCCGTCCACAGAATAGAGGAAGAGACGTCCACCGGATCAGAAGAAGTCGCTATTATACGAGTCGCTGTAGCTGAAGCGGTGTACCAGAGAACGGTCGATGCGAGTGCGGCGACGGGTTGAACAAGGAGCTCGGCTTTACTCGCGGAATCTTCCTCTTCGGCTACCTTGCCGGCGTCGCCGTCTTTCGCAGCTTCCTTCGCGTCCGGTGCAGACTCGCGGGCAACAATGTGAAATACGTGCGGTCGCCTCATGCTGATGGTACCCAGAGCATCGGCTTTCCATTTTTCAAACCCCTGTCCATCAAATTTTCCGAGTTTGTCAAGCAGGTCGTGAGCGTCCGTCGTGGGCTGATCCATGATGACGATGCGGAGGACAGGTCGAACTAGACAATGACGTGGGCGTGCGCAGTACTAGACGATGAAGTGGGCTACTAGTGAAGCCCAAGTCGTCTATGCCGCCGCAGTCCAACTGCTACGGTCGTATCCCAACGCAGCAGGAACGTGCGCGGAAATTTCTGGAATATGCCAGGAAGGCTCACGCTTGATGAGTACCTGGTGTAGACGACGATGTAGGCCGATAGAGTGGCAAGCGCCTCTGATCTACGTGCCTTTTTCTTGGCTAAGCTGCTGAAGAACCTGCCGAACTAACGGCATGTATGTGTACCGTTTACCTGATGTCCCGTCGAACTCAGGTCTTTCCTTCTCGAAAAAATTCCACGAAAAAATGCGGAGAAAATACGATGTCTCTGAATAACGATCCCCCTATGGACGGGTAGACGTTGAGGTTAGCTTGTTGAACGTGTAGAACTTACAAAGCGCGTAGAACGTGAAATGGACGACCCAGATGAAGTCGTGGAGGAGGCCGACGAACTTGATGGAAGTCCTCACGTGCCTCGAAGAAGAAGTGCTGGCCAGCAGTAGATTCTTCGGTAATTTTGTAATTCTTCGGCGCGAGCGCCGGCTCTGACCTCGAATTTCTCGCAGCACCGACCCCCCGAAGAAAATTGCGGACCCTGACGACTTCGATCTTCCCGCAAAAAAATAGTCAGTCCGCACGACGCAAGGTAAACTCAATCCCAACCAACGAATCTTTTCTTCCTACATACGCTGCCCGAGATCAATCGACATCTCCACAGGGTGCGGAACAAGCTTCTACCAACCGTTAAACAACGCATGCATCCAGAGGAAATAAACAAGCCGCTATTACCACCTCCTGTAAGGAATGTCAGCCGACCTCACACTTTTGGTGCCACTGCCGCCTTGACACTTGTACCTGCACTTTTGCAGTCTTCCACGACCAGATTTGCCACGACAGGACTCGCGCTCTCCAGCTCGGGTCCAAACACCAAGACGTGCTTACTTTGCATGGAGATTTTGCCCCAGACCTGGACTACCTCGTGGCCGACATCACCCGAATACCAGGACGACCACCACGACGGTTTTCGTCGTTGCTGAGTCGTCCATGTTACCGTCAGCGATTTCGTGCCGTTCAGCGGCAAGCATATTTGAGGCGCGCTTCCGGTGGCGGATGTACCCGGCACGCTAAACGTGAAAACCTCAGTGCTGGGCACGTCTACGAGCGTTCGTCCCACTTCTCCCCCGGCGTTTGCCCCGCTTGGGGCAAATCCAAACTTCGCCTTTGCAACGTTTACGAAAGGCTCCCTCCGTGCGGCACCCCAGCAGTGGACCACGAGGTTCCGCGTGCCAAGATTGACGAAGTGGTAGTGCGACTCTCTGCTCTTGAACCTCAGTTTTGGCAAAGGGACTGGTTCCGCACAACCGGCTCCCACGTCAATCATTTCCCTGAGGGCAAATTCGCAAAAGTGCTTAACCGCCACCTCCAAAACGAAAACACCCCCCTCGATTTGGATGTTTCCCCCAGTAATCGGGACCCACTCTGAATCAGCGTCCTCTCGTTTGACAGCCGAAAAGACGCACCCAAGGTGGGCACGGTACGCCACCTCAGCGTCATCGCGGCTGCCGCGCTCGGAGCCCGATTCCATTGAGTCCACGTCTCCGACGGGAAACCGCAGGAGGAGCGGGGGGTTGAATATCTCTCCAGCACCGGCGACGCATGTCAGTACGGGATGTAGCAGACACTGCTTTCCGTCCGCTGTTTCGGCTGAGCCCGAGCACAGGCCGAGGCCGATCAGGGCAGGAACAGTTCTCCCCAGGTTGGGCACCTTGAGCTGAAACTCACACCCAGGGCTTTGGATAGTCTCCTCGTGATCTCCGAAAGACCAAGCTAACACGTTCCCCTTGAAATCTGCGAGTCGGGCGGCGATGAAGTAAAAGGTCGGCACAGGGTAAGCTGCCTCTCAAACTCTAGGCAGTGCACTGGGCGATGTTGTGTTTCGGGCTGCCCGCAACGACGTACCTGATACGGCTGAAATCGTGGTGCAGGTGTCATCTTCGTTCTTGTCAAGGCCGAACGGGCGGGATTTCATCGGACTGCCTGCTTGCGGTAATCGGTAGAGGAAGGACGTCGTGTAAGGAGAAATCTCGGCACGATCTCTTCAAGATCATTCCGTTAACTCCCTCTTAAGTGTGCGAATTGCCCCAGGACATCGTGCAAGCGGGATCGGCCCAAGGGTCCTTCCTTGCCTAAGCCGTTTCAATGATACCGTCTGATGGCCTCTGTTGGCTATTAACGAGGTACAAAAGAAGCATCCCAAAACAAACTCGGGGGAGCAGAAAAAGGCCCTGCCCACGATCCCAGCACCAGTGTGCAACAAACACAATTGTCTCTTCCTCTCGCTGAACTCCGCCTTCCCTGCTGCTGTAGTTGTCGGGGACTAGGCGGAACACGCAAAAAATGTTTACACCACCGTAGATTTAAGAGTATCCGTGAAGCGTTCAATTCCGCTTCATGGGAGGCCCACGTGCTTAGCGTAGACCTGACGACGGGGGAGGGTAAGCAACTCCACAGAGTTCAGAACCGTGTGCTTCATTTTTGCTAGATCTGTAGATATCCATCCGGCTTTCGTCGGTCTAGAAGGAGCCGAGGTCTACTACTTGAGCCCTGTCTGGAAGTCTGACGCGTGTAGCAGGTGGGTACCAAGATATAAAGCGCTTCATAACAAGAAGTGTGCGCTATCTGTGCCGACCTCAAAAGCCAAATTCAATGGCTGCTACGGACAAAAATTGTTCCAATGTACCTCTGAAAATGAGGTGCATAACAAGAAAACTTCCCGCATTCATAAATCTCCACGCCTCCGCGTTGCTCCTGGCCTGTTTTAGGACGGTTCTAATCCAGCCCACAGTGCTCAGCAGACGCATCGATGCGCCGACAGCCAAGCGACCACAAACGCGGGTTGAAGTCTTACTTGTCTTCAAACTTGTGCCAAGAGTGGTGGTGGTCATCCCGCTCGTCGTGGAGGTCGATCCGTCATAAGCACTCGGTGCACCCTCGCATTTCTTTGTCGTCGACCCATCATGTTCGGCTACAGTTGCCGCGTTACCTTGCAAGGGCCCTGCTGTGACAGAGAAAAGACGCGCGGATCATCCTGGGAGGAAAGAACCTTACGTATTCTGTGTGAAGAGGGAATATTTCGAAGAATCCAGGTGCGGACTTTGTGAGGGCCGTTTCTAATGCGATCGGAAATCACAAACATTCGAATGTGTATTTTTTCAATTCTGACTGAGGAGCCCGTTTCCTCGTACCATTGGTGATCCAAAAGCGGGGGGATAATGAGCCAAAGATGGCGTATTTCCCCATCTAGAACTTCGATCATAAGCGCACAAATAGAAGATGGGCCATGTACAGCGAGTTCTGACCGTAGCGCGCTTTTCAATGGTTCCAGAAATTCTGGACCGCCACGCTGCCATACTAACCGCTGACATTTTACGATCGTCGACCATGGACTGTTCACACCACGACACGACCAAAAAAGACGCCGTTCGTCCGGAGCCTACAGAGACAGCTTTTCAGTGCACATCGATGCACCACATTTTCAACTACCTGTGCCGTTGTGCAGATGACGACGAAACGGGACTGCAGGAAGGCCGAGTGAAAATCTGAGCAAACATATCAAAATGTCGACCAGAGGTCTCACCAACGCTGGACGTGGAAACCCCTTGTGGATCAAACAATGAGACCAGCTTAATGGTGCCGTCCGCGGTTATGTCCGTGCCGCACGGTGGAGGGTAATATACATATCCCTTACCAGTGGTCGCGGCTGCTGCGCTATGCGTTTCATCGTTCCATCAAGTCGTCCTGTCATCACTGCAGAAGGTCTCAGGCAACCGTGGTTGCAAAAACTGCAACACAAACGATCGCTGTTGTGTCGAAAGTGTGGAAACGCACTCCAAAAAAAAAAATAGCTTAGAAATGGAAAATACGATCCCCGCATTATTGGCGGCGAATGATTGGTCGAACTAACGCAAGAGTGTGGTTGCGGAGCAGTCTGGTAAAAAAAAGCTTATTTTGAGGGGGGTGCCAATAGCCTCCCAGGGCGGCGCAAAAAAACGGTGTTTTGCCATCAGTTACACGCCCGTAACTTCGCTCAGCAGGAAAATCTTCCTCATCCGGGCACTCTAGCCCCGACCGGTCACACCTGTGCACTTGTCGCCCGACGAAACCACAGCACGACGAAGATCTTTCAGCTCCTTCACTGACGGCACAGGACCTGTAAATGCACCCATGAAATATTCATTGGAGTTCAGGACGTGGGACAGCTCCATAGAGCAAGCAAAAATCGAGAGAAAAACAACATACAGGTCCTCGACGGGAAATCGAAATCCTTACCACTGAACTTGTTGCCGCGGAGTTGCACGGATACCAGGTAGACGAGCTTCAAGAGGTGTGCTGGCACAGATCCTGTGTGTATAATTCGCAAAGGTTCACGATCGGCGCAAAATTTGTAGGCAGCTTGTTGTAGAAGCGGTGGTTCCCAGAGTCGCGGGCACAGATATTGTGGGCTTTACAGGTTCTACAGGCGTGTTTCTCGCTGTGTATGAGGTGCGTAGTGCGCACAAAGACCTCTCTTAACACCGCAAGATCAAGACACACTGCGCATACGTAGGTGCACGCAGAGAGACGGGTCGGGAGCGTTCCCCCAAAAAGCACGCTGACGTCACGATGGCTCCGATTTCTGCTAGTCGCGGGACCGTTTTTGCAGGACCATTTTTTTTTTTTTCACTTCAAATCATATCTCACTGCACTAGTGCCGCTTACATAAACCCGTGGTCACACAGGAAGACTCCTCTCTACTCTCCCGTCCTGCGGTACGTTGCCTACGATTTTAATGCGAGAAGAGTTCAGCATTCTCTTCCCTCTGGGTACACACGTACACACGAACTAGCGCTATCTACTTCCAGGAACGGAAGCGAGAGAAAACCTCAAGTTGCAAGAAAAGCTCGGTTTCGCCGGGATTCGAACCCCTGACCTAGCCACCAGAAGGTTACGACGATACCAACTAGACCACCGGGGCAATTTGGGGTGTCAATACCCACGGAATTAAGAACCTTCAATAAGCTGGAGGCGATTAACCTGTCCAGTGACCGGCTTTCACGTAGGAGGCAGGAACTTGCAAATACGATCATTCTGACACCAGTGAGACTGGCGCCCCTGCGTAGCAAAAGATGTCCCGCGAGTTCCGCAATTGTGAAATTTCGTACTCGCCTACGCATACGCGGGATTCATCGGTGGAATCAGGCCGAGAAAATAATCCTTCACCACGACGCACTCAAATCCGCCATAGATACTCACCTGTGAGCGTGTTGCTGTGTAGACTGAGCACCTGCAGGTTCCTGAGCTGTCCTAGCAACGCTGGGATTTCACCTGCACGAATTTGGAATGAAGAGAAGTTCGAAAAAAAAAAAAATCAAGAATACTGCAAATCTCCGTAGATCTTGTCCCACCCACTAGTAGGCGGGACAAGATCTACGGAGATCAGTTGTTTTCAAAATAGAGAAACGGGAGAATTGTTATTTTTATTCCCCGCTTGATTTGTATCGCACTCTCGCTTACACGCCCTATCCCGCCAGAGCTCGGGACCTTCGCAGCCCTGCAACGCCTCGATATTGGCTACAGCGAGCTAAGCGGTGGGTCATGGCGCGCAATAATGGTATTTGTAATAATTTCCAGGATGAATACCACCAACGCATCGGCAGGATTCATGCATTCACCACTTCTCGGCGATGAATCGGCGATGTTCATCCAGATCAAGGCCAAAATAAATTGAAACTACTGTCAACATAAAAAGCTACCTGTGAGCCGGTTGGTGGAAAGCCACAGCTCCCGCAGCTCTCGGAGATCTCCCAGCTCCTGCGGGATAGGGCCTTCACAAAAGATACAGCGGGGGCAATTACAACGGGATTCATTTTTCAATATCATCGATCTCCGTAGATCTTGTCCCACCCACCCACTAGTAGGCGGGACAAGATCTACGGAGATCAGTTGTGTTCAAAATAGAGAGGCGGGTCAATAGTTTTTCTATTGCCCGCTTGGTTTGTATCGCACTCCTGCTTACAGGCCACATCCCGCCGGAGCTCGGGAACCTCGCAGCGCTGCAACGCGTCGACCTTGACGGGAACGTGCTAAGCGGTGAGTCATAGCGCACAATTTGGTATTTGTGATCATTTCCAGGTCGAATCCCACCAACGCATATACGGGATTATCCACAGCATCATCAATAGGCAAACACCGCAAAAACATTTGTTGGTACCTGTAAGCTCGTTGTTTCCGAGCCGCAGCTCCTGCAGCTCGCCGAGAGCCCCTAGTTCCGGTGGGATGTGGCCTGCAAGCAGACGGGGGGAACAGAATAGCTGAGCGGGACAAAAAAAATAACTCCCCACTTTCCAGAACACACCTACGCGTGGACGCCAACTAGTTGGATGCCAACTAGTTGGCGTCCACGAAACTTCTGTACAGAAAGCGCGGGGATTTTTCTTTTATCTCCCCTCCGAATCCATCAAATATCATGTTGCGCTCCATAACTCACCGCTTAGCTCGTTGTCTTCAAGGTCGACGTGTTGCAGCGCTGCGAGGTTCCCTAGCTCTGGCGGGATCGGGCCTGAAAAATGCGATAGAAACCAAGCGGGAAATAAAAAAACATTAACCCGCCTCTCTAATTTCAAGACGACTGATATCCGTAGATCTTGTCCCGCCAACTAGTGGGCGGGACAGGATCTACGGAGATCGATTGTGAAAATTTAGCGTACCACGTGAGTATCCATCTCTCCGCGTATACAACGGCGGAACACATAAATAAAGTTGGAGAAAAAAAAGTATTCAAGATTTCATCAGTCTCTCACCGCTGAGCTGGTTGGAGGACAGGTTGAGCCACGTGAGCTTTTTGAGAGCGCAGAGATGTGCCGGGATCGCACCTGCAGAGAGTAGACATACAAACAAATCACCCGGCTCTCTTTTTTCGATATATTCAATCTCCGGAGATTTATGAAAATGAATCCCGTTGTAATGCCCCCGCTGTATCTTTTGTGCAGGCCCTATCTATCCCGCAGGAGCTGGGAGATCTCCGAGAGCTGCGGGAGCTGTGGCTTTCCAACAACCGGCTCACAGGTAGCTTTTTATGTTGACAGTAGTTTCAATTTATTTTGGCCTTGATCTGGATGAACATCGCCGATGCATCGGCGAGATTCATCCATAGGCTTCCCGCAATTGGGCCGCCAAATTCCCAAAAGTGGCTGGGGGGGGGGGGGGGGGGTCAGGGTGATTCCTAGTCTATTTTCAAGACACATTTGACCCTTGGTTCTCGCTGTGGTGAGCCCGTCAACCTAGCACCGCCCTCGGACGCACAGGCCTCACAACGTTGTTCCAGCGCCGGACACGGGTTACACACACACCCTTACGCACCGCAGGCCTCTTTCTGCGCCAAGGGCGTGCACACAACCACAGCCACTAGATGATTGATACACCTGGCTTGAATAGCACCCACAACGTCACACCAGCGCAAATCTCACCGCATTCCACCCTTTCAAAAAAAAAAACACAAGACCACAAGCCACAAGCCTAAGTCACCACAGCACACAGCACTCTCGCGCACTCCCCCTGGATCGACTTCACGTCCGACTCGACCATAGTCTTCAACACAACCAAGGCCTATATAAGTCAACGTGTCGGGACACTTCATGGACATAGTAGTAACACTTTAGGGACATGTCCGGTATGGCGAATGTCGGGGCGGCTGGGTCCGCCATGACGGCAAATTTTGCCTGCAATATCCTTGGGCAGTGCATTCAGGCCGAGTGCAACACTAACCACTGCTGTAGAGATTGCAAGGGACCCGTGCACAATACGTGCAGCCAGGACCTTAGGGGTGTTGGCGAACCCTCCGAGTTCGGGTTTGCATGCGGGGGAGACATGTGCAAACTCAAGATGACGGAGGAAGAGAAAGCCGGAGCTATTCGTCACCGCGATGTCGTGCGAGCCCGAGCTGCTGCAGGAGAAGCTGGAACAGAAGGCCCGTGCAGTGCCGGCGACAACTGCGTGGCCAAAGAAGGTTCGCAGGCTATCGTCACACAATGCCCTCACGGCAATGGGAGGCACTTCGCGTGCGCCCGCGTGGCTTGCTCCCCTGACTGCGGCGAAGGTGGTGAGTGCACATTGCGCTCCAGACTTTTTTTCTTGTGAGCTGGTTTATTGTGTGTTTGAACAGCAGGGTCTCGGGCATTTTGGGGTAAACGCTACTGCTGTAACATCATCGTAGTGGCTGGCGCAAGGGCGCAGGGCTTTGGCACGATGTCTGTCGTTACCGAAGCTAGTCGGGTATCTTAGGTGAAGTGTCCTATACCGTGGAGGCTTCGAACAGACGGAATGCAAGCGGGTCACATGCACACGATCGGCTAGACATACATGGACTATCTCTAACGGTAGCCTTTTGCTTTTTGAATCAATCGTGGTCTCTGCTGACCAAGCTGCTGCTGACCCTTGAACACGTCTCACTGGGCACAAAACAGGGTCCGAGGATGAGGGTGACCCCAAGACTGCCGGAAATTCGGACGCTTGGAAAAACGCGTCTGCCCTTGACAACAGTGAGTCCGTGTAGAGTAGCACGTGTAAAGAATAGCAACGACAGACAAAAACAGTTTCTCCTTCCCGCGACGCCACAATAAGGCCCGATTCGCCCAGCATGGTTGGAAGGAGATCGGAATCGTTCGCCAGCCAAAGGACGGTCAGCCTTCTAGTGTGAGGCGTTGATGAACATGGCAGTCCGCCGATCACGGGCTTCGTTCATTCTCTACTAAGTCGCAATTCCAACGGTTGTGCGCGTGATACATGTGAAAATCGCAGGCGGAGGTGACGATATCGCTGCCGCCGCCACACCCACCGCCGCACGGCAGAGGACCTCTGCCGAAGGTGAGGTCCAGAGCGCGCCTGTGTCGCGAAAACGCGGAGCAGCAGTTGCGACCCACATTGTTGTGGTCACTACATCGATGGCCACGGAGTACCATGAAATGCACTTGCACGAGGACATGATGCCGACCACTACCAGTGTATGGTGGCACAGCAGTGGTGATGCCTGTCCATATCAGCTACACTTTTTTTACGTGTAGCTTGCGTCCCGTCGCTCCTGGCGCCGTGTGTGTCTACCCATGTTCGGTCTGTGTATTTGACGTCGATCCCGGGATATATGTCAAGTAGGCGTGTTGAAGTGTTTTTATATACTACTGCTGTTGTATACTGCGTACTAATGTTAGGCCACTTTGCATCCCTCCATTTGCTTCTTCGCACTTGGTTCTCAGCTACTTCAACGTCGAGCCGTAGGACATCGGGAGAAGGTGTGGGGGCCGGTAGGACGATGAGGTTGCGCAACAAGTCCTCCTCTACGCCTTCCAAGCAGGCGGCCACGCCTTCGAAGGCTGGATCTGTCGTCCTGCCCCTGGAAGAAATTAAGTTCTGCATCGCCGACGCCTTGACGCACGCGTTCGGAGACAAGAAGATCGTCGGTACTTTGGTAGACAAGATGGCAGGGACTGCGAGCCAAGCGAAGGCCATGAGCGCAGTAATGACAGCCATCACTGCCAACTCCAGGGAGTTCATTACTGCCGCCAAGGAAGCCGGCAAAGAAGCATGCGCCCAGTACTTGAAGGCACCCCTCACAGACTTAGCCAAGGCACAGGTGAGGCACGGTATTGATATTGGGTGCATAGTTTCGAGTTCCATCTCTTAGAGTTGTTTGGTGCAACCGGCGCATTTAAGAAACAAGTATGTAGGCGTTGGCGTACGCGTGACAAGGGACATGAATCAACGACCTGCCGAAATACCCATGAACACGTACCAAATATCCCGCGTAACCACCCCCCGAATGCGTCCGTAGCACAAGAAAAGCCTCGAGAGTATCCCGTGGCTACATCCCCGACAATATTTGTTTTTTTTTCATCTCACCTCGGTTGTTTGTTTTCGTTATATAACCCCCCTACCTACCACAATGCCCCGGTGCGTATTTTTATTTAAACGATTTCCATCCGCCTCGTGTAGTGGGTGGTCACAGCATGGGAATTTATTTGCTAGTTGCCAACTCTGCTGTACCATGTTGCTGTAGCTGCTGATGGTGCTGCTCGTGCAGTGATTTGGTGAGGTCTGCAACGAACGGCCGGCAAACAGACCCTCATGGACATGTGTACATTCTTGTCTCGGCCCTGTGAATCGTGTTATCTTGCCTGTGACACAGACGGACGCTGCCAACAAGTGGAAGGACAACTCCGTCGAGGCGGCAACCAAATGGAAGACCACCGCCCAAGCACTCGCGAAATCTTCAGCACAGGTGACGACCAATGCGTTTATGTCGTGCGTTGACTAACGGTTGCGGGGTCTGGTGACGGTTATTCTGGTAATACTCTTTAAGCACAGAAATCCCTACAAGGCGATGTTGTGGGAAAATCCTTCGACCTCCACACCTCGGGCAGGACGTTGACGGTAGGGCAAGACGAGTGTGTTGGTCTACTGACGTATCACACTCTCGTGCTTGGGCATTTTGTTAAAGCTCTACCCAAAACCACCCTTCCTGTCTGGGATCAAGGACGTTGTGTCCTTCCAGGATGCCCCCTCGTGGACAAAAACACGTCCGTTGCGCCCAAAAATATGAAAATGCGGGGCGATGTTTCCGTTGGTTATTCCTCTTCGCCCGTCATTACCTACGAGTTCGTCCCTCATGGAATTTTGCGTAATGCATGTGGATGTGTGGGGGTACATACAACTGTTTATGTTTTTTCGTTGCGGATTTTGGCAACACTGCTGTTATTGCTGCTAGCATTGGCTGTTATTGGAAGTGCTGTGCATGTCCGGCGTTGTGGTTACCCGCGCGGGAGGTACGTGTGGCAAATGATTTATTTTTCCATTGAAGGTCCCCCGAACCGCAGATTTGGTGACCTGTCGCATCATTCCAGAACGTAGCCGCGCGAGTCCTGAGGACGGATCTGGAGAACGTACCCGTAAATACGAAAAATCGGTCCCTAGAAGCTGTGCTCGGGAGGAAAGCCGCATCTTTCTCCGGCTGCCTTGGACTTTTGTCATTCGCCAACCGAAGACTGATGTGGCACCTATGGCATATTCCTCATTACTCGTCCGCCCCCCAACAACATGTCGTGCCGCCTGCCCAAACCGCGTCCGTAGAAAAGCACTCCGCAGGTGTCAGACGCCAAGCTGACCGCGGCAGCCAAAGCCGGCGTCATGGCCAACAACGAGGCACTGATGACCCTGGTGAAGACCGAGGTCGCAAGTCAAGTACTGCAGCTGAAGACGGGCCTGGAGGCACGGTTGACTGAGATGGAGAGCAGCGCGAAAGCCGACCAAGAGACGCGTTTTGGGTCGCTGTTCACCAGCATCCAAAGCGGCTTGACGAACGCATGCGAGCACATCACCGGGGTCGTGAAGGAGAACGGCCGCCAGCTCGACGAGTGAGTGTTGATGTTTGTTCCTGGAGTGTTTTCGGGGCACCCCACACAAGGGTGGGTGATGCCCCCGCAACGAAGTACCCGATTCGTTGTTCTAGACCTTCCGGGTGTATGTGGGTGTGCGGCATAAGTTTTTTGTTGTTGTTGTCGTTGTCTACGTGAGTGTTCTGGGAAAGAGGTCGACGAGGGCACCGTTGCGTGCGCCGCCTTTGGTTTTTGACTCTCCGAGTCGCGAGTAAGTGTTCCGGCTTAGTCGGGTCTTGGGCGTCGTTGGTTAGGGAAACAAGTGCTCCGACAGCCACCCCATACCCCTCTAACCCCTCCTTCCAACGCTCCAACCCCCCTCTATTTAACTCTCCGCCTCCCGTCCATTCGATCCTCCGCTACGCATCTGCCAAAAACCCACAGGAGCATTTCGGGCAACAAGAGAGGCCCCCCATCCAAGACTCCATCGCCGAAAAGGCGCAGTCCGCGTGAGCACGAGGCTACGCGGAGGAGGTGAGTAATTTGGTTGTGGCCCGTCACCTTTTTCTCCGTCGCTGACGCTTTATAGCATCCACGCAGCCACCGCAAATCGTAAATCAAGACGAGGAAGGTTAGGTTGTAAAAAGTCGGACTGTCTCTCTTCGTTGGTTCCATTTCGAGAGCTGGTGATACGTTGCAAAGTACCCGCGGATAGACTCAACACCCGCTTCTTTCTGACGCGTGTCCTGCGTTGTCGTGATGGTGCGTGTCCAGTGACGAACGTGAAGAGGCGACGACGCATGGGGCTCTGGCGACGGTGGATGGTAACACGTTAATGAAGATAGCCGCTGCAATGGGCACCGCTTTGTCGCAGGGCAACGCCAATCAAGCACGTGTTTCCGACCAGGCCCACAACAACGTCATGGCTCAAGGCACCCAGTCAATGGGGGGGTTCGTGTCGGTGCCACACAACATGATGCAGGCCCGGGGGGCTGGTGCTTCCACGATGGCGATGATGCAGAACCAGGGGGCGGGTGCGTCCTCGATGAGGATGATGCCGACCCAGGGGGCGGGGGCGTCGTCGATGGGGATGATGCCGACCCAGGGGGCAGGGGGGTCGTCGATGGGGATGGGTGCACCCACACAGCGGATGGGTACACCCTCCCAAGGTGCCACCAACCAGAGTGGCTATATGCAGCTTTTCGGGCAACAGAACAACGACCTCAATCAGGGCAATGGCTATCCTCCCTTCCGATTTAACTAGGTTGACGATATTTCTGAGCATGCCGGTCAAACGCTTTTGGTTTTTAGTCGATCGCCAAACGGCCCGCCTCAAGGGGGACGCCTCAAGGGGGTCCTCGTTTTGCGAAGGAAAGTGCAGTCATTTTGGTGTTTTTGTGAGGCGGGTGTGTGTTGTCCTTTTTTTTTACGAGGGGGGGGGGGGGGTTGCGCGTTTTTAAATTTCGCAATCC